ATATATATATATATATATATATATATTATTTTTAATTGACAAATCTCCCTAATGGCTTATAGCTTGTGTGCCTGATTCTGATTCATATATTTTAATTCAAAAATGTCCCTGACGGCTTATAGCTTGTGTTCCTGATTCATAAAAGGAACTAATGTGAATTTTGAATAAGCATGCTAACATAAAATTATATTTTGTCTGTTATCATAGGATCCTTGTGTTAGTAGGGTTGGCATATGATTTTGTTTCTGTTGGTTGTAATGTTTAACAGAGGATAGTACAATTTTTTTTAATCCTTTTATGTAACTTGAAACTAAGTCAGTGAACATTTTGTCTAGTATGGTAAATCAGGATGGTTAGTGGTATGTTGTATTCCAGAGCATCTAAATATTCAGTTAGTAGTTTGGTGACTTCCACTTCTACTTTCCCATGTATGTATAGACTTGATCTAAGTTTCTGCCATTTAGTAAAAATCCTTAATGCTGATAGAAATATGAGATGCTTAGAAATGCTAGATTCTACTATATTTTCAAAAACTATCCTTGTAAATTATAACTACCCAAAAAATGGTCATATATTTTTATTATTAACTGCTAAATTTTATTTTAAAAGTTAGGATCTGGTAATGATACAGCAAGGTATATTAATTAGTGAATGTGATTTATAGTTTAGCTCAAGTAAGAAAAATGTTTTAAAAAAAAGTAGTTTTGTAGGGACTAGTATTAGTTTGTTTCAGTTATTAGTAAATCAATTTACTTGGTAATTAAACTTGATGTTTTACATAAATTGACAGTGGGAGGTTGAAGTTGCACAAGTGAGCCAACATAGAGGTTAAACAAGGCATAAATAAAACTTTATACAAGTGAGCCAGCATAGAATTTGGGTTGTCCTAGTCAACTAGACTATTCTTATTTTTGTATTAAAATTTATATACCACCTATAAAGAATGACATAAAATTAAGAGAGAAAGGATAGTACTATATTCAAGATTCAATGAGCAGCTATAGACAATAATTTGATGTTACTATACTATATCACTTAATTGCCTTTATTTTATAGTTTATTTTCTTATCCCAAAATAAAATAAACTAAGTAGTTAAAGCTTGGTTATCATGTTTTGGTTATTAATTTTTCATCAAACTATTCACTTAAATTGCTTAGTCAATTATTTGTTGTTTTCGCTAGGAAGTTTTTAATTCTCTTTACAACATCTAGCTTTGTACATGGGAGTGAGGGGATTGGTTTCTATGTGCTTCAGTTTCATAGATGTTGTTGAGGAGAGTATGAATTGGTTGGTGCAATGCGTGTTATTATTTTTTACCTTCCCCTTTAATGTTTGGAGGCATCACAATTTTTTATTCAATGGTTACATTTTTGTGTCTCTGTATGTGTGTGATGTTAATATTATATATATAATAATTTGTCTTATTTTGCTTGAAGGATGTGGTTTTGTTAAATACTCACACAGAGATATGGCTTTGGCAGCTATTAATGGACTTAATGGAACCTATACAATGAGAGTAAGAAAAAAATTCTGCATTTTTTTTTCCTTTTAATAATTCTCCTTAAGAAAACATTTGGGTTAATCTTGTTGATCCTACACAATGAGTAAGAATAATGCACCATACAATTTCTATTTGAGATTTATATATATATATATATATATATATATATATGTTTATTACAGGTAATTAGAAAGAATCTAAAAAAATAAATTAAGCCTTTTATTAAAAAAAAAATGCAATCTACATTGGTTGTTAGTAGAACTGATGTAGATTTGTACACAAATCTACATCGATTGTCAGTAACATGGATGTAGATTTGTGTACAAATTTACATCTATTTTACTGACAACCGATGTAGATTTTGCACAAATCTACATCAGTTTCAAAAACGATGTAGAAATGTATGTATTTCCATAGTAGTCAATAGCGGCCGGAGCGGCCGCTATCGCGGCGCTCCGGAGCGGAGTGGCCTCACCCCGCAATCTCGCTGCTGTCGCTTGGCGAATTTGTGTAGTGGCCGGAGCGGCCGCGTCGGAGGCGGAGCGGAGCGGCACAAATCGTGGAATCGCGGGCGCGATTTCGACTTACCCTTCATTAAGGGTAAGTCAGTCTTTTCAATGGGGCTTTTTTTGCGCTAAGTCTCCCTTTCCCTCTCGCGATTTCAATTGTCGCAGCCCTCTCTCGTCTCTCCCTCTCAGATTGTTTCTTCTTCTCTGGCGATCGTGCGTGCAGCTCCGACGAACTCCGGCTCTGACGCACCTCCGTCGCCGACGCGCCTTCAGCTCCGACGCACCTCCAACTCCGACGCGCCTCCCGGTCCGACGCGCCTCCAGCTCTGACGTGGCCGCAAGCTTCGACGCGTCTCGCTTAGTTCGTCTTCTCCTTCGAGTATTCTCTCCTTTATGTACATTGCAACATAATTTGTTTTTTAATTTTTTATTAAATTATTATTATTTTTTTAATTTCCGATTAAATTTAATTCAACAAATTTTATTTTTAAATTCTGATTAAATTTAATTCAACAAATTTTATTTTTAGTTTCTGATTAAATTTAATTCAGCAAATTTTATTTTTAATTTCTAATTAAATTTAATTCAGTAAATTTTTTTTTTAATTTCTGATTAAATTTAATTCAACAAATTTTATTTTTAAATTCTGATTAAATTTAATTCAACAAATTTTATTTTTAGTTTCTGATTAAATTTAATTCAGCAAATTTTATTTTTAATTTCTAATTAAATTTAATTCAGTAAATTTTATTTTTAATTTCTGATTAAATTTAATTCAGCTGATTTTATTTTTAATTTCTGATTAAATTTAATTCAGAAAATTTTATTTTTAATTTCAGAAAATTGTATTTTTAATTTTTGATTAAATTTAATTTATCAGATTTGTTTTCTGATTAAATATAATTCAACAATTTTTTAAAATTTCTTTTCTACTTTGTTTTGGAGACATTTTATATTATGTATTGTTTGAGTACTATGAACTTTTAATTATTAAAAAGGTTTAATGTATGAATTTAGAGTTATTTTTTTGTTTTTTTAGCTTTTATATATATATTACTAATTATTTAATATATATAAATTAATATTAAAATAGCGGTTATCCCGCTCCGCGTCATCCCGCTATCCCAGTTTTAGGGTCGACCGCTCCGCGCCGCTATCCGGGATTGACTACTATGTGTATTTCTAAGTCATTCTACATCGATTTTAGAACCGATGTAGATTACCTCGCAGAACCGATGTAGATAATACATCCTATAGTAGTGTTAATTCGACTAATAAAAAAAATTGTCTTTAGTTCGAGAATTTAATAATGGTATCGAATTTGATTATCTACCATTTCTTATACATAATAGTATTCATTTGTAATTATAATTATAAATTAAATAAATATAATTGATATAATTATTAATAATATTAATAATAACATTTTAATTAAAAATAGAAGAATTCAATGAACTAGTCTAAGCCAGATATGTCCAGTTAAAAAACAACTTTAATAAGTTTTACACCATATTTTTAACAAGGTTGGTTTGTAAGGTTAAATAATGTGATTTTAATCTTATATCCGATTCTCAATCTAATAAGGAAGTTTTATCTAGTTCAATTCAATTGCAGACGTTATTTTATATTTTTCAACAAACAACTAATTTTATACAATTAATACTTGTAATTTAATAAATTAAAGCTTAATAAGTAACTTCAAATACGAATTTTAAGTTTACAATTTTATTAAATACTTAAAGAGAAAATTTTCTTCACCTATAATTTGATTACATGTAACATTTAGTAATTAAATTAGAGACTCACACAATAAAAGAGCATGGTGAAAAATTAACAAAATAAAATAATAAAAGTAGTATGTAAATTAAGACCCAAAATCCAACCATTGTATCTGTATTGTGTAGCATATAAGAAAGGTGATAGTTAAGGTGAAGAGAAGGATCCACTCTAATAGTTTTGCATTAACAAGGCAACACTGCAGTCAAATTAATAACTATTGACAAGTGGGACGCCATATGCTTTGTCATGCCACTTCTATTTTCTATAAAATCTGTTTTTTTCTTGCAATTTGCAATAATGATAAATCATGGCATTCAGAATATTTTATTTTCCTTCACTAACTTCTGGAACTACTATGACAACTTTCTACGAAAGTTGTTTTTTTCAATCATCCGCAGTAACTTTATAAAGACTAGTTTCCACTCAATTACGTATTTGTCATGCATAGTTTCCTAGGTTTGGAAATAAACAATCATTTGGTTCATTTTGACATTGACACGTTTGTTTTAATCTGATTACACACACTTCATACCATAGTAGTCAATAGCGGCCGGAGCGGCCGCTATCGCGGCGCTCCGGAGCGGAGCGGCCTCACCCCGCAATGTGGCTGCTGTCGCGTGGCGGATTTCTGTAGCGGCTGGAGCGGCCGCGTCGGAGGCGTAGCGGAGCGGCCCAAATCGCGGATTCGCGGGCGCGATTTCAGACTTACCCTTCATTAAGGGTAAGTCAGTCTTTTCAATGGGCTTTTTTTTGCCCTAATCATCCCTTCCCTCTCGCAATTTCAGACTCATCCAAAACAAACACCTCGGCTCGTCTCTCCCTCTCTGTTTCTTCTTCTCTGGCGATCGCGTGCAGCTCCGACGAACTCCGGCTCCGACGCACCTCCATCGGCAACGCGCCTCCAGCTCCGACGCACCTCCGACTCCGACGAGCCTCCAGGTCCGACGCAGCTCCGACGTGGCCGCAAGCTCCGACGCGCGTTTGTCTTCTATTCTTCTTCCTCCGACTCGCGTTTGTCTTCTTCTATTCCCCTATTCTCCTTGGTTCTGTCTTTTATGCAACATGCAACATATTTTTTTTTAATTATTTATTAAATTATTTCAACTGATTTTTTTTTTAATTTTTGATTAAATTTAATTGAACAAATTTTATTTTTAAATTCTGATTAAATTTAATTCAACAAATTTTATTTTTAATTTCTGATTAAATTTAATTCAGCTAATTTTATTTTTAATTTCTGATTAAATTTAATTCAACAAATTTTGTTTTTAATTTCTGATTAAATTTAATTTAGCAAATTTTATTTTTAATTTCTGATTATAATGTTTAATTTTTTACTTACTTAGAGCTTTAACACTTTGTTTTGGAGACATTTTATATTATGTATTGTTTGAGTACTATGAACTTTTAATTATTAAAAATGTTTAATGCATGAATTTAGAGTTATTTTTTTGTTTTTTTAGCTTTTATATATATATTATTAATTATTTAATATATATAAATTAATATTTAAATAGCGGTTATCCCGCTCCGCGTCATCCCGCTATCCCAGTTTTAGGGTCGGCCGCTCCGCGCCGCTATCCGGGATTGACTACTATGCTTCATACTACATGTGTTAATTTCCTGCATTTTGTAACATTAATGCTATCTTGGATTAGCTGATTTCACTGCTGCCACTCACTGGTGCAGATATTGGTACCGAAAAGTAGAGAACCAACTAAATCCATCAACCTCAATAAAGAAATTGAGGGATCCAACAACAATAGAAATGAGAGCAACTCATAAATCAAATTCAATATCTCAATTCTCAAGAAAACTTGTTATTGATAGTCTTCTATCCACTCAGCAGAACAATAGAACTTTCCGTTTTTCGGATGAAAATGAAATCATCTAGAGCCTAGAAGGTGTCTTTGTCAATTGATCACCATACTTAATGACTTATTATATTAAAACCCATGTTTTGGTAAACTTAATGTGTAAAATAGGATATGTCAAGTATAATTTTTCTGGTGGGGGCTTGATAATTTTTATATAAAAAATAAAATAAAAGATGGGTTTAATCACCCTTTTCGTTTCAGTTAATTAATGACTTTCTTTTTAGTTAATTAATATGCAACTTGTGCATTTTGATCTTAATAGGTAGGAAGGCTTCAATTATTTAGATTTATTTTAGGAAGAATATTGATGTTATCTTGGCCGTTTGCTGTCTAAATGTGATTCTTTTCCTATATCACTTATCATACAACACAACAACCGTATGCAACAATACAAAAGCTACAGACTTACATTATGCAAATCAATATAATTTCATAGTTCATATTCATACCTTCTAAAAAAATTATATATAAGTCCAGAATAAAATATTCTTACCAATGTAGAAAAAGGTCGAGAAATTCCACCAGCTCCCCATAATTGATAGAATCCACGTGCTAACAATAACCTATCATAACATTAAAATCAATAAGCTCAGAAAAATATAATGAAATGAAAAAATGTTATCTGTCATGCCTTGCTTTTATGTAAAAAATGTGATGCTTAATGAAAGGCGGGGTCTATTCTATTAGAAAAGCCAGTATGTATAGTAAAATATAAGATCATCGAGATTTTCTTGCTTAATCTAATCAAATCATAAACAAAACTACAAGACAAATAGGATTTAATCAATTACAGCAAGTTCCTACCCTTGTGTTGTGAATCAAAGTCCATAATTAAATTTGTTCAAAAATGAATTACGTACTGCAGCATAATTAAAAGGAAGTCTGATCGTAGAAATCAATTTGTAGAAGTTCAAGAACATATTCAAAATATCTCAAATGAGATTGATAATTCAAGAGAATATGAAGCAGTTAAAAGTAGATACAATCAAATGTTCTAGAATTGTACTCCTCTAACACATGTTAGACTGACATGGTATCCTCTCTATCCTATTGGTAGTGGGTCCGTGTAATGTGTGTGCCAAAGAGGAAGTCTTGTTCTTCTGTTACAAGTTTAAGTTGTTGACCCAAAAGGCACAAGAAAATGGAAAAGTTCAACTTTTAATCAAACAGTGCTGACTGAAGCTAGCATTGTTTATGATCAAATACTCGTTTTTTTTATTGAGAAAGACGCAAAAATTGTGGCATTAGGATTTCTCATGTGAGGAAAAGAATCAAAAGATAGCCTTTAGTTTTCTTCTAAGTTTTGTCTTTTATGTGATAACAAAGTGACTTTGTACAATGCCTTTGTGACCTTTGGCAGTCTACTGGTAATACTAGTGTTTTTTTCCTAACTGCTGTAGCTCAAAATTTGCTCTGTATCAAATTAGCAAAGGAGCTTGGGGTCATTGTGCCAAACCCAATCCCAATCTAACAAATCCTATTAATTGAGAAGAGTTTTAGGCAATTGGGAGGTGCAAATCCATTTTCTTATAATTCTGGTCTAATTTCTATCAAACTATATAAAAGATCACATTTAAAACCAACTCCCTTCAAATAACAAAGACTCAACCAAAACCTTCTGGGATCAATTTTTTTTACACTGAAACTGTCTATTATAATTAATCCCTGTTGGTGCCTTAGATAAAATTTTAGAGCCACCAATCAGGCTTGTGCCTAGAATAGTAAAACTCTATTTAACAGAAGTAAAATGAACAAAAAACTACTTGACCTTAAAGGACTCACCAGTAGTTATCGGGGTACTTGATATGATAGTGGTATCAGCTCCATGTGGCGTTCACCAGATGTTGAACTGTCTCTTCCTTGTAATTACTGTCTATCTTCAATTGTCTCCTACTAGAGCACTTTAGAAGTTGTCACATTGTTTGAATGTATACCATTTGAAACAACACTCCCAATATCACCAGCAGCCCTTTTTTCCTATTTTGAGAATCAACCGCTTAGTTCAAACCAATGTGTTCAACAATAGGGAGATTCATGGTAGTAACAGATTGTAAAGAGAAAGAAAAGGTGGGGAGAAGACATACCTACCAGAAGTATTAGTAACTAGATTAAGAGTGGAGAGAGAGGTTGTGCACGGATGATTTAAGCAAGAAGGCGATGGCAAAATCGTCGAGGCGAGTGCAAACGACCTTGAAAGCGGTGAGGTAAGGAATGGGTAAAAGCAAGGGTCAGAGGAAGCCAACAAAAGGGGCAACGTCCTGCGAGAGAAAGAAAAAAGGAGTGTTACTTAGTTAGAGAAATAGAGATTAGCGGGTTAAGGGTAGTTATAGTTTCGAGAAGGTGGAAAGGGGGGAGGAAGGAGAGGATGTGGTGGGCGTAGGAGCGGAAGACGGAGGAGGTGGAGGCTAGAGAGCAGATGATATCCAATGTGTTTCCAGACTGCTAGAGAGTTTGCGATGTTAGAGGATAACTCAATGCTACATCGATCATGCCTTAAATAGATGTAGAATATTTTCACTACTACATCGGTTAATCAATTTTTGATGTAGAATGGTACAGATTTACATCAGCGATGTAAATTTATAATTTTTATTATTGAATAAAAAAATAAAATTAGTAATGGATTAAATTCTTCTATAAATATTCTATCACAAAAATGTGTCACAATACTATAATAAATAAGTCAGTGACAAATTTTGTGACAAAATTTTTGTCAACATTTGTATTTTGTCACAAATTCTGTTACAAATAGCTTAAAATTTTTTATGATGAAATTTGTGAGGAATTATTGATCTCTCTCAAAATATTAAATTTTATTTATGAAATTTTTATATATAATAATTATGCTGAATTAAAGAATATATCTTAATTTTTTTTAAAAATTATGACAAATTTATTCGTAGAAAAAATTATATTATTGATGGAATATTTTCGACAAATTTATATTTGTCGAAAATGTAAGAATTTCTTTATGAAAATTGACAATCATATATTAAAAAAGGTTAATAAAATTATATATATATATATATATATATATTGATATATATATATATATATATGAGGAGGGTTATAATAACACCGATATAACTTTTACTAAGTATTACACCGCTCAATAACTTTATATTAAATTAGAATTTGTTAAATCTAACCGTTAAATTGAAAATTCTTTACTCTTAAATCATATATACAAAATTTTATATCAATCCAAGATGATTTGATACTTCATTCTTATAAAAGAAAATTTAACGTAATATATACATTTCAAAATATACTAAAATATGAATATTTTGATTACCTTCACGTTGTTGTTCAATTTTAACAAAATTTGATATAAACATGGAAAGTGATATGAACTTTTAATCTAACGGTTGGATTTACAAAATTTACATTTAATATAAAGTTATTGAGCGATGTGTAATACTTACTGTACTATCCGCGTCAAGCACCGAGCTCAAGCTCGGCATCCAAGCGCCGCACGACATCGGATAGGCGCTACAGGACATCGACCAAAGCAGGGGCCCACTGCCTAATGGACCGCGACCAACCTCAGGCCCAGATCAACCTTATCCTCGCCCAAGAGGGAAACCCTAATTTACATCAAGGTACGTGCACTATATATATGAGATGCCTACACTATCAAAGACTAACTTTAGCATCGGAGTCTCTTTTGCAGGTACCACCCCCACCTCGGAATTCGTCATACCCAGCATAGGAGACTCACCAATCTTGCCCAGCAGATCGCCCCTCTCGACTGATCTCAGGTAAGAACATTTGGCGCCCACCGTGGGGCCGATCAAGAATTTTCTTATCGGCCACATTTATGGTTTTCACCCGAATAGACGAAGCAGAGCAACAAGCATCCATGATGGAAGGAGAAGCGACCCTACGACGACTAATCAAACAGGTTGAACAGATACAGTAGCGGCACACTGTCGACTTGGAGAACATGCGCACTCACCACGAGGTCGATCTGGAGGTGCTACGGGTAGAGAACGAGCGCATTTGAGCTCAACTCCATCAACGGCCCCCACTTGTACCTCCTCAGCCAAGCAATCACCACGAGGAGGAACACCAATCGATCTCTCCACCACCGATAGCACCCAAGACAGCCACTCACCGATCAACGACACATCGGTCACGTGCGCCGACACGAAGATCAGATCAGGAAGTCAACAATGCACCAACCTTCGCTCCGTCACAGCGGGCCAATGTCCGCCGCCACCCCTTCGTGGATGACATCATGGAGACACCTCTCCCCTTCGGATGGAAGCCCCTGAACATCGACAAATATGATAGGTCCACCGATCCTAACGAACACATAGATCTCTATGTCACCCAGCTGAACCTCTACACCAACGATGATGTCATCCTGTGTCGGGTCTTCCAAACCTCATTGAAAGGATCGACACTCGCCTGGTATACCCAACTACTGCCTGGGTCGATCAACAACTTTGACACCTTGGTCAGGCAATTTACAGCACAGTATGCAACAAGTCGACCCCATCACATCACCTCAGCTGCCTTAGTCAACCTCAGGTAAGGCGACGCCGAGTCGCTACGCAATTTCATGGAGCGATTTGCCAACATCGCCATCAAGATCCGCAACCTGAACCATGAGGTTGCCCTACATGCCATGCTCATGGAGCTTAAGTCGGGTCCCTTTGTCGACAGCCTTTGTCGGTGACCTCCCCCGGACATGGACAAGCTTTGTGCCCAGGCCGCCGGATACATCCAGATGGAGGAGCACACGACATTCCGAGATCAAATCCGTGGAAAGCCACAGGGAAAGCAAGACCACGGTCACAAGGACAAGATGAGAGTCTCCAATGACAGCCAATTCAAAAAGCCTCAGCAGAATAAAGGCGGGAAGTATGACTTCTACACCCCCGTGAACGTGCCCCAAGTTCACATACTGGAGGAAGCCAGTAACATCGACCTGATTACCCTACCACCATCGGGGCACAACCCCAACAATGCCGACAAATCCAAGCATTTCCGGTACCATAGAAATTACGACCACACAACCAAGGAATGTCGAACACTCAGGGACCGCATTGAGGAACTCATCCAAGGAGGACACCTCGGACAATATGTCTGACGGTCATAATCTGATAAGGGAGGCTACCATGGACATGGCTGTGGACGAGGACGAGGACGGGGCTCCAATGCCCGGACAGACAAACCCTCTGGTTCCCAACAAAACATCGGCAGGACGGTGCAGGCTGAGGTAAGTCATGACACAGGTAACCCTCCCATACGTGGAGTTATCAATATGATTGCAGATGATTTCTGCTACTGCGTGATGCCTTTCAGCCTTAAAAACGCGAGAACTACTTATCAAAGGCTGATGGACAAGGTCTTTCACCTGCAGATCAGACGAAACATGGAAGTCTACGTAGACGACATGGTCGTGAAAACCACATCGATCGACGCCCATGTTGCTGACCTAGCCGAGGTGTTCAACCAGATACGAAAATACAACATGGGCCTAAACCGCGAGAAGTGCGTCTTCGGGGTCCAGGGAGGTAAGTTCCTCGGCTTCATGATCACCAATAGGGGCATTGAAGCCAATCTAGAAAAATGCAGGGCCATCATGCAGATGCACAACCCCCAAAACGTCAAAAGATGTCCAATGGTTGGCAAGTAGGTTAATATCCCTCTCTCGTTTCATACCTAGGTTGGCAGAGAAAGCAGGACCTATCTTCAACCAACTACGGAAGCCTAAGCACTTCGAATGGACCAACCAATGTGAAGAAGCCTTCAAAAGCTTCAAAAGATTCCTCGCGACTCTGCCAACCCTGCAAAAGCCAAATCACCACGTTGACCTCCTCCTTTACTTGGCCGTGGCTGAGGACGCAATCAGTGTGGTCATCGTACAAGAGCACCACAAGGAGCAAGTCCCCGTGTACTTCATTAGCTGAGTCCTTCAAGACATAGAAAAGCGGTACAAGACGATCGAAAAATTGGCATTGGCACTCGTCACCGCAACTCGGCGTCTCCGACCTTATTTCCAAAGCCTCCAGGTCGTCGTTAAAACCAACTACCCGATCAGGCAAATACTGAGAAATAAACCCGAGCTTGCAGGACGCATGATCGCGTGGTCAGTAGAGTTGTCCAAATTCGACATTAAATACGAGGCCCAAGGACCCCTGAAAGCCCAATGCCTAGCAGATTTTGTGGTCGAACTCACCCCGACCTTGCCACAGGAAAGTCAAACCTGGACCTTACACGTCGATGAATCTTCCAACATCAAAGGCGGGGGTGCAGGGATCATACTCGAAGGCCCCAACCAGGTCGTCATCGAGCAATCCCTCAAGTTCGGGTTCAAGATCACCAACAATCAAGCAGAATACAAAGCTCTCCTGGCAGGATTGAGGTTGGCACGCGACATCGGAGCACGAAGGGTGAGCTGCAGTAGTGACTCAAAACTCATGGTAGAATAACTCAGCGGAACCTACCAAACTAAGGATGCCCTACTACAAAGATACTATCACACAGCGTCACACACTCATCTTTTGAAGAATTCACCATACATCATGTGCCCCGAGAGAAGAATGCAAGAGCTGATCTCCTGTCCAAACTCGCCAGCACAAAATGCCCTAGACAACATCAGACTATTATCCAAGAAACCCTCAATTCCCCCAGCCTAGAAGACAAAGTCGTCAACACCAATGACGTCAAGGACAAATGATGGATGACAGACATATGGAACTACTTAAACGAAGGGATACTACCCGAGGACAAGGACGAAGCTCGGAAGGTGAGGGTACGATCATCCAACTTCACCATCACTATAACGTAACAAGTTGTTTTAGAAGCCCAATATAGGTGATTTAGTAGCCCAAAACGGGCTGTTCCCAATCTGGAATGGGTCGTTCCAAGCTATTAAATTGACCTGTAAATCGTAGTTGAGAACAGGCCATTTTGGTTGGAGAACGAGCCGTTCTGGATGGAGAACGGGCCGTTCTGGATGAGTTCCGGAATGGGCCGTTCTGATTTTAGAACGGGTCGTTCTGCATGTGGTTTTTGCACATGACGAAGGGATACAGAACAGGCCATTCCGAATTCGGTACAAACCATTCTGGCTACTCCGGAATGTTTATAAATAGGGGTTGTGGGCCTTGAGGAGAATGTGAGTTTTTAGAGAGAAGTTTTAGTGAGAAGGTCTTTGGGTCTGTGAGCTTCTTTCTCTCCTAAATTTCTCTGTATGATTCCTTTTCTCCTCTAGATCGCTAATGCCTTCTGTCTTTTCTTGAAATTCAGATTAGAAAGCTTGCTCTGGGAGGATTGAAGTTCTGGGTTGAGCTTTGGAAGGGAATTCTATTTCATCTCAGTTGTTGGCTATTTTGAGCCAATCTTCAGGTGAGGGAAACTAGAATATTTGTTGTTTAGGTTGCATGTGAGTTTAGAAACTCAATTGATGCATGAATGTTGAGAATCCATAGATGTATTGGAGAAAATCTCATTTTTTTGGGGTTTTGAGAAAAAGGAG